AGCTTTGGCTCTCAGCAAATCCATTCCCATTCCTGTTTCCTTCATTAACTAAACATCTCAAAAATTCAGAAAATGGTTTAAATTGCAGATCTGGAAAAATGATCCATGCCTTTTTCTCACATTTGCAATATCATAACGCTCTTTTTACTGGTCTGAAAAAATCCTACCTCAATTCTCCCCGTCACTCACAACGCAGCGGCCAGACTGCTGACAAATCCAACAGGTAGCGTTTAGAAGAGCTTGTCTCACCCACAGAGCTGTTAACTGCCAGACGCCTGACTACCGAACACAGCTTTGATCCCACCTCTGTTCCACATCCCAACACTGGATGCTGTTCCACATCCCAACACTGGATGCTGTTCCACATCCCAACACTGGATGCTGTTCCACATCCCAACACTGGATGCTGTTCCACATCCCAACACTGGATGCTGTTCCACATCCCAACACTGGATGCTGTTCCACATCCCAACACTGGATGCTGTTCCACATCCCAACACTCGATGCTGTTCCACATCCCAACACTGGATGCTGTTCCACATCCCAACACTGGATGCTGTTCCACATCCCAACACTGGATGCTGTTCCACATCCCAACACTGGATGCTGTTCCACATCCCAACACTGGATGCTGTTCCACATCCCAACACTGGATGCTGTTCCACATCCCAACACTGGATGCTGTTCCACACACCGGACTGAGAACCAAGGCATCTGTGGAACAGCCCGCCCCGCCCTAACTCTGTTTCTGGCACTATGAAACATTTGAAACCGACCTGTTCAAATAGATATCATTACCATATGGGTTAGGGTTATGCTTCATATGTGTATTGCCCACCCCCACACTAACCCATTGCACCATTGTATACTGCACCTTTGTGGTGTAAGTGTAGGAAAGCCAGCCTGCATGAGCAGTAGCATACAACGATGCATTTAGGACTCTGCTGGGGAAGCCTCGGCCCTGTAGTGCAAGTCTTTTTATGTTTATGTATTTAGCAGACACTTTTGTCCAAAGCCACTAACAGTCTTTTATTTTGTAATGCTCATGGCAGGACCTTCCAAGCCATAATGAGGATGTACAGGTTTATCCTGCGATTGAAGCAGTCTAAGAACAGACTTGTGCGGATGCTGGTTGATCCCCATTTTAGTGCAGTGCATTACCGGTCCATGTGGAGACACTGGTATGCATGTCTTTTATAATCTTTTGTATCGTTTTTATGTCTCTTTTTTTAATGTGGACCTTGAGTCCGATAATAAAGTTGAATTGAACTGAATACCCACGGCTGCTCCACCGATTCATTCATGCAGACCCTGGATCGGTCGTGAACCGAGCCTCTGATTACACAAGACTGTTCATCCCTGCTTCAGAGGTAGAGTCCATGCTCTCACATGCACCCTGAGGTGGTGTTCAGACCTTTCCTCTGCAGACCTCACCTCTTCAGAATACTTTAGGCCTCAGGCAGATTTGAAGGGATGTGAATTTAAAATGAAACTTTTAATTTCACTTCCTGAGAAGCCCATCCAAAATGAATATGTAGGAGATGTAAGACACCCAGTTATTGGTGGTTGTGTACCACACACACACACACTAGCAGGAAGCCACATCACAGCTGACTCTGTGGCAAGGCCTGCTACTTGTACAGCTAAACTTAGAGTTGACCCAAATGGTAATCATACGGCACAAACCACAAGGTGGTGAGGCACCTCCCAGCCCCACACGACGCTCTGTAATCTCACCGTTTTAGCATCAGCAGGATGGGCGACAGCCTTACCCTGAAAAGAAGCACACTCTCTCATTATGCCAGCATGTGTGACCCTAACAGAGAAGTGAGCACACAGAATTCAGCAGCATTTAAAGACACTGCAGCCATGTCTGACCTCACACACCCATAGAACCAGGAAGAAGCTTCACCAGATCTCAGATTCAGAGTATTAGCTGAGTGCTACGCTGGACTGATTTCCTACAGTAACTTTTGTTTGACAGCTGAAGACTTTCCCACTTTAAACGTTTCTACTATAGTATAGCTAAAAATCTATTGTGGAGATAATAATAATAATAATAATAATGAACAAAAATCAATAAAGTATTTCTCTCACATCTGTGTAAAAACCTCCACCACAACCACCCATCCGGCTGTCGGTCTCACCAAACCGCCGCACTTCCCTGGGTCCTCCACTCATCACACACAGTCAGCACCAGAACAGCACTGGTGTGAGAGACTCTCCGCTCAGTAACACCAGAGTAGGAGAAACAGCCAGTCCACACAGCTGGTACCACCTTCTGACAAGCTACAGCCGTCTGAAACCCACAAACTTCAATCATCTCCAGCCTACTCACCTTGGCCTGACCTTCCTTCACCTGTAGCTTGGACTTTGGCTAGCCTGATTTGAGCCGTTCTCCATCTTTAACAAGCATCCTTTTAGTCTCTGCCTAACCCTAACCCTCAAACTCAAATCTCCATTTCAAGATGGCAGCAGCAGCATGTGGACTGCTGAGTGTCTGTTGACCGGTCTTCTTCTTGAAGGAGAAGACAGGTGGAGGAATCTGTAACAGTGGTCCCCTGGTTCCCCGTGCTACAACGGAAACCAACCACATCCAAGACCGCCTGAGGTAATGACAGACCGCACCCCCGCGCCCCTCCCCCAACACGTGTTGTTGTGGTTACTCGATCTAAAGTCGAGTTGTTAACAAGCGTGCACGCACTGGCAGGTGCACGCAAGCACACATTCACAGTAGACTTACCGCTCAGGTGAAGAGCAGACACAGATTCTGCTGCATTCAGGAGGATTTCCTGTGAACCACGATCATTACAAAAAAAAGGGAGGAGGGCGAAGCGAGCAGCTCAGAGCGCTGATGTGTCAAATCAACAGGTGAGTGGCTGAACCAGGTGGAGGTGCGGCTGCCTCACCTGGAGACCAGTGCGGTGTAACCACGTAGCAATTTGCTGACGTCATGTTTTTCAGCGTAGCCATCAGCCACAGCTGGTTCTACATGAATGTGGAGCAGTTTTAACCTGAAGATGGAGACAGAATTGTGGCTTTGGGCTGAAATATTACATTTAGAGTAAGTAGCACTTAACTGCCACACTAATGATTACACGTGTGTACAGCAAACACGTTAAATTAGGTGTTACTTGCTCTTCAAGCAGACATCTGTTTATTTCTAACAGGGCTGAGCTGTGGGAGAAAATATTCAATTATTTCATCTTATTTTCTATCACGGGCTGTGGGTTGATTGTGTTTATTAAGTTAGTATTAATGATTAAATTATAAATAACATGTCACCACAGTCTGGGCACAGGAAGTGTTTCGAGGAGCTAAAGCCAGTTAGCAGCAGCTCACCTGTTTATGTTTATGTGTTTAGCAGACGCTTTTGTCCAAAGAGACTTACAAGTGATAATCGGCATGTTGCCCTTGAGGCTAACAACAACAACAACAACAACAGCTTGACATCAATCATGGAGAGGAGGGAACAAGGAGTGGACAGTAGAGAGGGGGGACGGGTGCAGGGAGGGTGCTAGTTTAGAAGATGCTCTCTGAAGAGCAGGGTCTTCAGGAGTTTCTTGAAAATTGAAAAGGAAGCTCCTGTTCTGGTAGTGCTTGGAAGGTCATTCCACATTTGTGGAATGATGCATGAGAAGAGCCTGGATTGTCCTGAGCGTGGTGTAGGAACTGCTAGCCGACGGTCCTGTGACGACCGGAGCGGCCGGGCCGAGACGTAAGCCTTTGCAAGAGGATTCAGGTAGATGGGAGCCGTACCATCTCGGACTTTGTATGCTAGTGTTAGCAATTTGAATTTGATGCGTGCTGCTAGCGGTAGCCAGTGGAGCTCGATGAACAGAGGGGTGACGTGTGCTCTTTTAGGCTGATTGAAGACCAGACGCGCCGCTGCATTCTGGACCATTTGAAGAGGTCTCCCAGTACAGCCTGGAAGACCAGTTAGAAGGGCGTTGCAGTAGTCGAGGTGGGAGATGACAGTAGATTGCACCAGGAGCTGGGTGGCATGTTGTGTTAGGTATGGTCTGATCTTTCGTATGTTATACAGCGCAAAGCGGCATGAACGAGCAACAGAGGCAACGTGATCTTTAAAGGTCAGGTGTTCATCAATCACAACACCCAGATTTCTAACTGCCTTTGAAGGAGCCAGAGATAGGAAGTCATTCTGGACTGAGATATTGTGCTGTATGGATGGTTTTGCTGGGATGACAAGTAGGTCAGTTTTAGAGAGGTTGAGTTGGAGATGGTGGGACTTTATCTGTTCCACTGACAGCAGCTGATCTACAGAGAAGTTTCTGAAAATCGGCCCAAAAAAACAAGCAAACGTCTACAAACACCGACCAGATCAGCCCACCGGGAAGTTCCCCGGTCTGGTCCTGGTTACCCACGCCCTCTCCATTAGGCAGGAGCTGCTCATCACCTTAACTCTCATTGTGACACCAGAGCACTCTGTTGGCCTCGTTAGTGCGACTAGATTATGGTAAGTTTTCATAAATAAACACAACTTAAATCTGTGGCTCGTGTTTAAAACCATCCTCTTCAACCGCGCCCAGCTCGTCGAGGGGGTGTGTGCACCGTGTGTGTGTGTGTGTGTGTGTGTGTGTAGGGGGGGTTTAAGAAGCGGAGGGACACCTAATCACTGACATGTCCTCTATTACTAATGAAATAACTTACAGATGCACAAACGGACAAACGCACAGCCGTTATTACAAACTGAAAATGCAGACTACAGTATTTTGGCATCCCCTGCAGCCTGGCGCCCCTAAGCATCACATACACTGCATAGCCACTTTTTGTGCCACTGGAGAGACACAGACATACTACTGTCCATCCACTTATGAGAATAGACTAAAGAAGATGGTCCAAACCTCCACCAGACTGACTGCTAACACACACCTGAGGGGATGTCCCTTAGCTTTATCTCCAAGTAAGTTTTTGATCCATTAAACCAAACCAGAACACACAATCTCCGGTCTTCTAGACACAGATGTGAAAGGACTCACAGGACTTCTGCTCTTTGGCCCAGCTGGACATTTTGTGGGACTGACACCAGACAGTGACGCCATCTTCCTTTAGTTTCAGCATTCGTTTCTTCTGCCAGCGAGGCGAGCGGACCTTCACATACAGAAGATAAAAGTCAGGGCTGCAGAAAAACCAGCCCTCACAGTAGACATGATGGTTTCAGAAGTCAGAGTAAGATTATAGTGTAGTTATAACCCAGTTAGATAAAACCTTTTACCTTGACCATACTGGAGCCCTGCAACATCTGCTTCACATCTTCATCCTCCTGAACTCCTGGAGAACAGAAAGGAAGGAGGCTTGATCAGGTACGTGCGGGGGGGTTGAAGACATATTGATAAGCTTCTTGGAAAACGCCAGACTATAGCGATATACAGCTAAACGTAATAATAACATTTAATAATAATAATGGTGCTGAAGATATCACTAATGCGGATCGAAGGAGATACACAGATGAATGCACCTCTTATTTATTACTTGGAGACTACATTTACTGCAGCTAGCAGAGGCAGAGATTGTTTCTATTGATTCACGAGTTTACAGAAACATTTTAAATGGTAATAGGGGAAGACTGCAGGAGGGAGCGGTAAAATACAGGGGGTCCCCAGCAAAAACAAGAAACCACGAGTCTGATGAAACCCGCTGGATTTCCATCAGGCAGTCACGGGGCAGCTCCAACGACCCAGTGGCTGTGCTGGGTCAGTTATCGAGCCCAGTCCGGTACCGGCTCGGCAGAGGGTGAACGAGCCGAGGCAACGTCGTGCTCTGCTTAAGAAGAAGTGTTATTTTCCCGCTTCAGGAGAAGCGTCCAACGTGTTTTTACGCTTTCTCCGAGACATGTCACGTCGCTAAGTTGTTAGCGCCGCGCGCTAACACGTCAATGGTGCAGCGTAGGCTGCTGGAGGTTTTAAGGGTTCAGATGAAACACCCGACCTCTCAGGCTGCTCACACATCGATCTTAAGTTGTCGCTGTTGCGCTCACGCCGTAATGCAGTATTAGATGCGGTTAAAGTCAGACGTGAAAAAATAAATACATTTTACATGAATAAGTGATGCTTAGCCTGGTGGGGGGAGGAGAACCTGGCCTAATAAGCACTGGAGGAAACCCTGTCAGGATGGTCAACACTCGTTTATCTTAATGCTGCTGAAACATGTAAACCACAAAGCATTATATCCACTGCTACCTTATAACTTATGCTGTAACTTCACCTTGCCCTGCTGCTCCTCCTTGCTGCCTGCCGGCTGTGATCACAAGCGACAACATAGTAGTTCCCGCTGATTCTTCGGTAAACAGCGCAAAAAAAAATCAATAAAACTTGGGATCTTGTAGGCGTGGCGGTGGGATTTCAGCCATGGCGGCCCGCCACGGCTACGCCTACGTAAGGGAAACCCTGAATAAATTCTTAAACTTTTAAACCTGACTCTCTCTTCTGTTGTCTCTGAGTGAATACGAAGCTGTTATCTAATCCCTGCATTAAAAAGTTCCAATCTTCTGGTTTAAAATAAGCTCACATTCCATAATGTGGATTTCATATTTCCTATGGAATCCTACGCCTTATGGCTTATTAAATAACATGTAATTTAATTCATTACACACACTTCACATTAATGTTTGACACACTGTCCAGATGAATGTTAAAAACACCCATTATAATAATGTTCAAAGATAACGAGGACAAATAAGTTTAAAAAAAAGCAGAAAAGTCAGATTATACAGAATATGCTCTGCTAACACAGAGCTAACGTGTCTCCTCAGGAGGGCTGAAACATCTGCAGCTTGGTGGTGTTTAAACCGGACAGCAAAGCCAGAGCTACAGATACCTGTAATGTGTGCAAACTGGGTGTTCAACATGCTGGACAGGACAGCTCCATGATTCACGGCCTCCCTTTGGCATCAACAAAGCAAATCACTGGTCTACCTCTAACAGTCACAGATCAGTTAAGTCAGACGAAAACACGGAGCCAGCCAACAGAGAAAGTTACGCTAATGAACAAAGAGAAAACGTAGCATCAGTGCTCAATACACCCCGCGGCTAGCTGGACCCTGCTCCCGGTGCTGGAGCTACAGGTGTTATGCAGAGAAAAGTTACCCTGCCTGCGTGAACACAGCTCACAGCTGCATATTGAGGGAGTAAACTACTTGAAATAAGAGCAACACTACAGTTCCTTCTAAAAAAATTTACATATTGTGATGAAGTTCATTATTGTCTGTAATATACTGATAAACATTAGACTTTCATATATATTAGATTCATTACACACAACTTAAGTAGTTCAAGCCTTTTAAGGTTTCTAATAGGGTTGTCACGGTATGAAAATGTAACCTCACGGTTATTGTGACCAAAATTATCACGGTTTTCGGTATTATCGCGGTATTTTGTAAACGGTGTTGCATATGTTCAGAAAGCATTGATAGTCCTGTTCTACACAAACTGAAATAGTTCTGAAAAGGTTTAACAGTGTTTATTAAACCTAAAATAACACAAAGCCTTAGCAAAAGTGCAACTTTTCACAAGTAAAGGAACAAATAGCTTCTTTTTCTGGAACATGTTACAGAAGTCAGTGCAGGTTTAAATGATACAAATCCAAACATTCAAAACATAAACAATATGTAAACAAATCAAAGAAACACCACTTGTTTTCTCATATACTTGTTTTCTTCATTATCAAAATGAAAATCTAAAACTCCAGTCCACACTTGACTTGAGCACTGTACAAGTCAACCTTAAAAAATATGTTTTTAAAATAAATATCCACTTTAAACAACTTACTAAAATAACTACTACACTATGTAATCAAATCCAAATGTTCAAGTATAAATGGCATTGAATAAGTAAACAAATCAATGACAAGGAACTAATTGTATATTTCTCTTCATCATCAACAAATAAGATGCTTCATCCAGCAACAGGGTGTCCGTGACACGGTTTAAATGCTGGCAGAGGACGCTGCGGCTGCAGTATATAGTGACTCGTTGCATTCTCCCTCAACCAAAAGTCCTCACGTCATGCATTTAAGCTAAAACGCTAATGCTAACTTACCTTGCACTGGCTGTAGAGACGTGGGTGATGGTCACGCAGATGTGCCATGAGATTTGAAGTGTTGCTGCCTTTTGCAGACACTTGTTTCCTGCACGTTCTGCAAACGGGATAGCAGTCTTCTATTAACTGTCCCTCAGCATTTTTCAGAAATCCAAAATGTGCCCATACTTCCGATTTAGTCTTCTTTGAGGGCTGATGGATGTCCTGGGCGCTGCCGTCTCCTCCTTCGGACATTATTTCAGCTTCAAAGTTTTGGTGCCGTTGCAAACTAAAAAGTGCGTGTGCGCGCCGCGGGAACTTCAGCTGAAGCGACGGTGGCTGGTAAGGGTCACCGCGCTGAAACCGCGGACACGGTAAACCCACCGAGATAATTTAGTTTTTTAAAAACTGGACGGTTATTTTTATTGTCAACTTTTTCTACCGGGGTTTACCGCTATACCGGTTACCGTGACAACCCTAGTTTCTAATATTGATGATTTTGGCGTACAGCTCATGAAAACACAAAATTCCTATCTAAAAAAATTTGCCTTTTTGAGAAAAACCTGTATATTCACAATATAAACAAGTTTTTAAAATCGGTGTACTGCCTAAAATAAATGAAAGTGAAACTTAAAGGACAATTTGGATTTGTTTTCTTCTTAAATTGGTGCTTTTCTGAAAAGTATTGGATCTGGACTCGGTATCGGTAGATACTCAAAATGACTCGGAATCTGATCAGAAGCAGAAAAACGATGATCAGAACATCCCTGCAAGCTGCACATTTCAGGGTGTCCTTTTATTGTGGGCAGTCTGAGGCAAACCTGTACATTATTCATGCTGTCTAATCAGCCCCTTGATATGAATCTGTATATCATTTGTTCTATTTACAACTGAAAACAAAAAATGAAAACAGGAAAAACGGATTTTTTTTATTATTATTTTTATAAATGGGTTCAAAAAAACCAAAACATGTTGTGCTTTTCGTATTTTCTATTTTGGTCTCGGATACAAATGAGAAATGGAAAAACGGCAGCAGGACCAAATTTGATTATTCAATTTCTCGGGTTGATGATGGAGTTCACACAAAAGTGAGGATCCCTTGTAAGGACGGCACTGAGTCACTCGGGTCAGTGAGATGCTGCAGGTGATTCAACCACTGATACCGGCCCTCCAGGACCAGGATTGAGGACCACAGCAACCCCCCCCCCGCGCCACTGCTGCCTCAGGTCATTAAGGTGCTATTAGTGCAGCGTAGCTTAGTCCAGGTCTGGAAGTCTAAGTAGAGTACATATGTAATAAAGCTGTGGGAAAGCGCGGGTGTTTACCTCCTCTGTAGAAAAACACCCACATCCCCACCGGTGCGACGCCCATGAGCAGAGTTCTGGATGTGTTGAGGGTTGGTGAGGGGTGGAATGGGGTACCGTACAAGACGCTACTGCTGTGGTCCATTTATGACACGAGGCTGAAGTTAGCTTCTGATTCGGGAAACGGCTAAAGGGCCAATACACCCAATTTTTCTCTACTCTGACCATCTTGAATCTGCTCTAGCTCAAAAACTACAACAGCCACACTGTTCAGACCTGTTCTAGGTTATTCTACTATAATAGCAGATCAGTGTGGGATTTGTGAAACCTTTCCCTGATTTGTGAAACTTCAACACAGATTGTATTTTCCCTGTGACACGCAGCACAGTTACACAACTATGCAACAATTGCTTTGTTTGCGGTTCTTAATTAAAACCAAGCATAAATATTCAGCCTCAAACTTTTTATTCTCCACGTTCCAGAGAACTTCAGATTACTGAACGTCTCTCCATTTCTGTTTTCAGTTTAATGAGAAGTTCCGCTTTTTCGCTGCAAGAAAAAGAAATGTTCAGGTATTATGTATTTCTCCATTCCCAGAGACATACAAAAATCTTTTTCTTGCAGATATCTTTCAGTGACTCAGACTGTCTTACCTCTCATCCATCTCACCATGCTCATTCTTTTCCACTGCCTCAGCCCTGGTTTCAGAACGGTGACACTCCACGCTTTTCAGAGGTTTACGGTACATTACGGTGATATGACGGAGTTCCTGTCTGAGAGCCGGCCCGGGAAGACTACGCCGTTAGAACAATGGAGGAGCGGAGGACTTGTTTTGGAGGCGTATTTTCAAGATAGTCGGACTATCCGTGCTCGTGGACGTGCTACTATGGGGCATACGCAGACCGATTTTTTAAGGCTTTGTTGAAGTTTCACAAATCAGGGAAAGGTTTCACAAATCCCAAACAAGGTTGTATGCCATCTGCTATTATAGTAGAATAATCTAGAACAGGTCTGAACAGTGTGGCTGTTGTAGTTTTAGAGCTAGGGCAGATTAAAGATGGTCAGAGTAGAGAAAAATTGGGTGTAATGGCCCTTTAGCCGTTTCCCGAATCGGAAGCTAACTTCAGCCTCGTATTTATGACGTGATGAACACATGAATAAGGGTTTGAGGGACAGAAACGGAAAGGTTAAAGTCTAACAACCCAATCACATGACAAAAACATCAGCACCTTTTCCTTTTGTTCTATATGCCCTCAAATGTGCCAGTCTAGACCCGGCCCTGGGATCAGAGGTGAAGAAGAACGACGGAACATCTCCAGGACCGCTTCACAAACTAAACACAGATGTTGGTGGAATAACTTTACTTCCATGAATAACACAAATGTTGGGCCTAGCTTGTTATTTGGTTTGAACCCAGTAGTCTATCATTGTCTGAGTTTTCACAAGCGTGTTGGATCGTGAATCCGTTTGAAATCCTGCTCTCTGTGGGCCCCTTTGGGCACCGGCCCCTCAGGGTCTCTGCACAGCCCTGGACCAGATGAAAACATCCATCACTGGTTTTCTGTCTACACACCACCAACCCTTTGGTGCTGGTCAGGTCCGCACCAGCACCGGTATCAGTCAGGTAGTTTTTACCGGACACGTCATGAAGCACGTGACCACACACTACGTGTAGGTACTGACCAGATGTTGGCTGTAAGAGGGTTAGGCTACGAGGTCCAGCTCACCGCTCCGTAATCCCACTGCTCCACTTTACCTCCTCTCCTTTTACCTCCTCTCCTCTCCTTTTACCTCCTCTCCTCTCCTCTCCTTTCTCCTTTTACCTCCTCTCCTCTCCTTTTACCTCCTCTCCTCCCCTTTTACCTCCTCTCCTCTCCTCTCCTCTCCTTTTACCTCCTCTCTCCTTTTACCTCCTCTCCTCTCCTTTTACCTCCCCTCCTCTCCTCTCCTTTCTCCTTTTACCTCCTCTCCTCTCCTCTCCTCTCCTCCCCTTTTACCTCCTCTCTCCTTTTACCTCCTCTCCTCTCCTCCCCTTTTACCTCCTCTCCTCTCCTTTTACCTCCTCTCCTCTCCTTTTACCTCCTCTCTCCTTTTACCTCCTCTCCTCTCCTTTTACCTCCTCTCTCCTTTTACCTCCTCTCCTCTCCTTTTACCTCCTCTCTCCTTTTACCTCCTCTCTCCTTTTACCTCCTCTCCTCCCTTTTACCTCCTCTCTCCTTTTACCTCCTCTCCTCTCCTTTTACCTCCTCTCTCCTTTTACCTCCTCTCCTCTCCTCTCCTTTTACCTCCTCTCCTCTCCTTTTACCTCCTCTCCTCTCCTCTCCTCTCCTCTCCTTTTACCTCCCCTCCTCTCCTCTCCTTTCTCCTTTTACCTCCTCTCCTCTCCTTTTACCTCCCCTCCTCTCCTTTTACCTCCTCTCCTCTCCTCTCCTTTCTCCTTTTACCTCCTCTCCTCTCCTTTTACCTCCTCTCCTCTCCTCTCCTCTCTCCTTTTACCTCCTCTCCTCCCCTTTTACCTCCTCTCCTCTCCTCTCCTCTCTCCTTTTACCTCCTCTCCTCATAAAACCAGAGCCAGCTGCTCCTTCAGGAGGCGGAGGACATAACGGTCCTCTGACCAGAGGTCCAGTCCTAACGGAGGAAGAAGAGGCAGAGTCGCCATGAATACCCACCCAGGTTTCTCAAAGGGTCGATGGACCTTCCCCCCGAAGGTCCGGGTCCGGGACCGCTGCTCAGCCCCGGCTCGGAACAATTCCTGCCGCCCGACATGTCCGCAGGTGGAGGAGCAGAAGACGTATCCGCGGAGCTGCTTCTCATGCTTTTATCCCACCGTCACGGCTGCGTCATTCTGACGTCTCGGTGCCTGGCTTTTCCGGCTGGTTTTTCAAAATAAAGGTTGATAATAGCAGATTATCATCTTTGGAAGCATGCATCAAAGGTTGTTGATCGATTATGTCATGTACACACTTTTAATTATAGCGACTCAAAGCCGACACCGGGTCACGTGGTTGGTTCATGTCTGCAGCTACAACACTTTTCTCGTTTCCACAGTGATTCTTTTGTGATTCCAGACCAAACACAGTATTGATTACTACACTGCTCATGTGTTTTATCAGAACATTTACCATTTGGAGCAGCAGGAACAACATTATCAGTTTTACCATTCTGTCCGAGAGGGTGCTCGCTGCAGAACTACAAAGGTGGAGCTGCACCAGAGTCAGCCCCGCCCATTCACGCAAACTCAGCCTAGCCCACTGACTTCCGTTTTTGTTTTCAACTTTATCGCAAACTGACCTGACCCACATGAATTACGGCTGTTACTAGTTTACAGTCGTTAATGCTATGTTCTATGCTCCAATTAAACAAGATAAATATAACTTGCTACATGACAAAGTCTGAATATATCCCGAAATAAAAAGGTTTCTCTTAGCGAATAGCTGCCCACAGCCGCTCTAACAAAACTTCTGGACAACAGCATGTACCACCACTATGTGGTTTCTGGTAGTCCAGTGGCAAGATCGTCTAACCCTAAGTTTTGCTTTCCCCTCAGCTGATGCTGGTTCGATTCTTGGTGGGGTCGGCAACAATCTATTTAGCCAGCTGAAACATTTAATTTGTTCATATTTTAGTTGTAATGTTAATTTTTAGAAAAATATTTATGTCTCTTCAAGTTCTTTGAATTTGGTCGTTCCTAAACAGCATTTTAGTTGAAACTCTGCTCACAGATGGACTCACACTGGCTAAATAAACGAATGAATAAATAAAAAAACACATTAGTCATTATATGTTAAATGGCATACCAATAAATTGTTGTAAACATAGTACTGGCAAGTGTAGCTAAAAATGAGGAAAAGAGATTATAGAATATTTCCACTGCTGGGATGCAAACCTGCACAAAACTGCATGTCAACCTGACACCATCACCACTACACCACCACATTTGATAAAAACTTAGGTGGCGTTACATTTGATTATGCTATTCGGTGTGTCTTTGTAGATGGGATGTACGATTTTTCTGGCGGTGTCTCAGTAGAAGTCATTTCAGAAATATTTTGTCAGAAAATTCACAGAATATCCAGATTTGAGAACCAAGACCAGACCCGCTTCGGGGGAGGAGACCAAATTGAAGCTGAGATGGGAAGAAAATGCATGAATGAGGCCAAAAATGGCTTTGGCGTGTTTCTTATGAGGAAATGACAATATAACATGATTAAAAGTTCAAAAAGTTAGATTTTTAATTATATGGAACAAAAACTGTTCAATTCACTTCTCAACTCCATCCTCAATCTTGCATTTTTTAGCTATAACACCCTCTTTGGTTCCAGAATGCTATAGTCTGACAACTGGAAGGAATTGGACTGACTCTGATAGAATGGGCGGGGCTGACTCTGGTGCAGCTCCACCTTCTGGTGCAGCTCCGCCTTTGTGGTTCTGCAGCGAGCACCACTTGTTCTGTCCTGCTCTCAGGGCCGGTGTTGCTGACAGGCGCCTGGGGTGCCATCTGATGTATAGGGCGCAAAAAAAGTTTATTAAATTTATGTTTGTTATATGAAATGCACTCTCTACATGCTCAAAGTTCCCCTCTGAAATGACATTAAATTAAAACATCAATATTTAAATTCTAATGATCTGGCTGCATGACGAGCTCCCGCTTGGGCCACCGCTCCGACGCATGTGACCGTTAAGGGTGCCGTAGATCACGTGCGTGGGTGGCACTGTAGAATGGTAAATGGCCTGTATTTGATATAGCGCCTTCTAGAGTCCTGGAACCCCCCAAGGCACTTTACAACACAATCAGTCATTCACCCATTCACACACACACACACACTGGTGGGGATGAGCTACATTGTAGCCACAGCTGCCCTGGGGCACACTGACAGAGGCGAGGCTGCCGAGCACTGGCGCCACCGGTCCCTCCGACCACCACCAGCAGGCAATGTGGGTTAAGTGTCTTGCCCAAGGACACAACGACAGCGACAGACTGAGCGGGTCTCGAACCTGCGACCTTCCGATTGCGAGGCGAGCACTTAACTCCTGTGCCACCGTCGCCCCATAGAAGGACATCCTGTTGTCGTCGCATTTAAACGTTTGATATTTTACGATGAAAAGAACACCTAAGCCATCGGGATCAGCATTACGAAAGCGAAGGAAGGAGCAAGAAAAAAACGGGCCCAAATCAGAGGTATGTAGACTTTATAAATTTGGCAAAGGAACTTTTTGCGTTAGCATTGTAGCTAACTGCCTCTCCTGCCACGCACGGTCCACGGACGGACCCTCGCTAGCTGTTTACATACACAATACAGCATCTCACAACTTTAACCAACTAATTTTACTTTTGAATCGTCGTGTCCAGATGCATTGAGACAATATCTGCAGCCACACAGGCACCTGTGGACACCACGGGGGCGGGACTGTCTTCTACACAAGTTGAGTCTTCATGTGATGATGAAGAATGTAAGATTTTTTTACCGATGTTTGGAGTATGATTGCAGCCATTTTATGAACTTAGTTCAAGTTTTAAGTACGCATACGATATGAATTTAATATTTTCATATTAGAAGAACGTTAGGTGTGGGTGTAGCAAAATTTCAACTTTGTCCTTCACATCGGGCGGGTGGCACCGCCGCGGCCGCGGCCGTGGCGAGGAGTAAGAACTGCCAAAACACAGCATGACATCTTATGCCGTCTCTTTCTTGTTTACGCTGCAGCGTCTTCATCCAGGCATCACGCAGCAGCAGGACATTTACTGAGCTACAAGCTCAGCATCTAGAACCAGGTGAGTAAGTTACTTGTTAGGCTTTTTGTAATCAGCAGTAGAAACGGACTTTTTAAAATTAAACGGCTTATCACATATATCCATATGCAAAATTAATTTATTTAAATCTGCACCAGACACTTGTTTTTGGCACAATCAGTGCAGCATTGAGAATATTAAATAATCTGAACATACACATCTGAAATTGTCTCCTTAAGATGTTATTGTCAATTAGGCTGTAAATTTGTAAAAAAATAAAAGATGGACATGAGTTTTTGTGACAAAGTGAGTCATCTTCAGGGTATAAAGGTTTATGTCCTGAAGAAGGTCGTACCGAAAAGCGTCGGCGTTTCCTTGTTTAATAAATGAAATCCTCAGAGTGCCTCAGATCACCGGTTCTGTTTCGTTCCCTCCTGACTGCCAGTGGCAGTAAACAGAGTGGATGTATCTCCTCGCGCTCTGCACAGAGTTGCCCAGGACGCCGCACCACAGACGTCCGCCAGTGGCACACCTCTCATCGCCGCCCAGGATGTAGCAACACTGCTAGTGAAATGGCACACGATCCCAGGGGGAGCCACTGCACCCACTGCCGCAAAAGCCATTGCAATGGCATCCACGACCCAATGCGACAGCCTCTGCTTCGAAAGGGCCCGACCCCTGTTCACTCCTCCGTGACAGACAAACAGCTGGTTCAACTGCCGGACAGTGTTTGTGACCACAATATAGAGCTGCAGTGCCAGGACCGGGCACAGCAAATTCGCCCGCCGTTGTTCCTCCGAATGAAATGGGGGAGGAAAATATGCCCCCAGCTCGATTGCGGCATTCACGTAGCCAGAGGGCAGAACCTTGGGAAGAAAGGCAACGTTGGGCCACAGCGTCACCCCCGACCCATCTGCCTTCCACCGCAGGCAGGCGGGGCTGATGTCCAGCGCGTGCAGCTCACTGACCCGTTTAGCCGACGTCACTGCCAAGAGAAAGGCGGTTTTCACAGACACCACTGCCAACGGGGCGGTAGTCATTGGCTCAAAGGGTGGCCCACACAGGGCCTGCAAGACCAGGGGAAGGTCCCAAGCAGGTGCCGGCCTGCACAAGGCAGGACGCAACCTTCTCACGCCCCGCAGAAACTGGGACACCAAACAGTGAGCCCCAATGCTCCTGCCATCCACCAAGAGGTGGTTGGCCGAAATAGCCGCCAGGTGAACCTTAAGGGTCAAGGCGGCCCGGCCCTTGTCAAACAGGTGCCGGAGGTACCGCAGAACCAGGATCCACGTCCCTGCCGGAACACCAGGTAGAGAACCGCTGCCAACAGCGAGCATACATGGCCCTTGTAGACGGAGCCCTGGCACTATCCAGCACCTGCTGGATGGAGGGCTCTAAGCCGACTGGGGGCTGCCTGTCCCCTTCAATGGCCACAACGTGAGCCAAAGATGATCTGGGGACGGATGCCAAATCCTCCCCTCTGAGACAGGAGGTCCCGTCTCGCCGGCAACCGCCACGGCTCTCCGTTCAGCAGACTGAGAAGCAATGGAAACCAGAGCCTCGAGGGCCGCCACCAGAAGGACCTCGTGTGACGAGTCCCTCACCTGATGGAGGGTTGGTAAGAGCAACGGAGAAGGTGGGAAAGCGTACAGCCGAACCAACGGCCAGGCATTGGCGAGGGCGTCCATCCCCAGAGGGGCGTCGGCCTCTGCCAGGGAGAACCACAAGGGGCAATGTGTGCTGCTCCTCGAGGCGAACAGATCCACCTGGGCCTCTCCAAACTGATGCCACACCCTCTGCACCACCTGAGGGTGCAACCTCCATTCCCCCGGGGGAAGACCCCGCCGGGACAGGCAATCCGCCACCGAGTTCCTCCACCCCGGAAGGTGCAGCGCCCTGATGGAGGCCAAGCGAGGGTAAGCCCAGGTCAGCAGCGTCTGAGCCTCCCTCAACGATCGCAATGACCTGGTGCCCCCCTGATGGTTTATGTGGAACACCGCCGAGGTGCTGTCCATTCAGACGAGCATGTGCTTGCCCCGCAGAAAGGGCAAGAAGCGCCTCAGCGCCAAGTAGACTGTCTTCAATTCCAGGACATTGATGTGAAGCCGTGCCTG